AGAAAGCTCCTACTCTCGCTCTCCGTCTCTGTGAGATTCGGAAGGAATGATTCAGATTCCTCTTGGCACCGCTACTAGAAGACTTACAGCTGTCAGAGAGGTTTCCACGTCACATCTCCGTCGTTCAGCTCAGTGTGAGCCGGCGCAGTCGCTTAGCAATCAGGAAGTGAGTGCTTCAATTTGACTTCACTTTTCTCCGTTGAAGTCCATGGGGTCGCTGTGTCCATTTCTTTTACTGTCTATGGTCTTTACGGGATGTGTGTGAACCATGGGCGTCGGAACCATTGTATATGCAGACTGATCTCATGAAATGGCGTATGTATGACACGCCAATTCGTATTTCCATTTTTGGCGTGCTATCAACACGCATAATCGCTTTTCAGCGTGTTTATCAACGCCGTTGACTTAACGTTATATTACTGTATTATGTATATATAAATATATGACCTACCCCAACCCCGTCCCTAAACCTACCCGTCACTGGGGTTAATACCATTTATGAGTCTTCTCCTACCATCCTAGGAAAAGAAATATCGCTCCACAGATGTAGATATAGATTTTGCTTCGTTTCGCTCGGACATTTAACGGCGTACACATACACGCGGAATCACTCGGACATTTAATGGCGTAGACATACACGCAAAAGATTTCGGCGTGGACATACACGCGGATAGCTCAAAATGCGTATAGATAACACGCCACTTGACTTGAAAGTGGCGTGTATGTTTACGCAAAGTCATGATGTCATGTTGCTATATGGGCGGGACAAGACCCACCCACTTTTTAAGACCAATGATATCAGACCCACTCACTTTTACCGTCTCTAATTCAGCACATATGTCTGTTCGCTTTTCAGAGCGATGTCAGTCAAATCCATTCCACTTGAGGAATGCCCTACTAAACTAAACTCCATTTCCACTGAATCGCTACATTATATTTCTCAACGAGCCGCAACTGACGAAAATAACCGCCCGTTGTAACCCTTCCAGTCAAAGTGTTGCAAACATCAATAACAGCTTTAAGTTGTCAATGTTGGCAAATGACCATGGTATCAGCTAGCCTGGGTTTCCCCATACTGCCTTTGCGCAGCGCGATTATGTTCACGCTGCTAGGCAGTCTGGATAGCATGGAGCAGATTTTCGCCTCAGCGAGGGGACCAATCACAGAACGGGGAGGGAGCGGCAAGACGATGACGACGTCTATGCGACACACCGAAGCAGTTTGTTTATACTTATGGATCCAACATGGCGGCAGACGCGAAGTTACCTTTCCATGCAGCCTTAGATACATACGCCATCGTGTACACATAAATCTCTGACCCATCGTCTTCCTCCTCGTCTAATTTCTAATTGCTCTACATACGTCATCTGGTTTAATTGAAACGATTGGCTATGAGCTACGTACAGGCGCATTTGATAGACATTCTTAGCACCCAATAAACGTCTCTGGGCATTCGTAAACCACGCCTCAAATACGAGAAAATGAACATGTGGTTCCCAGACCCATCTGACGTTAGCCAGGCTAGGTATCAGCGGGATGATCCACGGATAGTGCATTTAATGCACGACGTGAAGCGGAATTTAGGTTACTTGTTTAATTAAATGGCATTTACTCCAGTAACATTTTTCTGTGGAAGGACCCACACACCCATGGTGTGAACGCACTCACAGATTCCGGAAAATCACTGGCAGTGTGAATGAATCAAAATCTAACGATCCGGGGCCACATTATCCGTGTATTTTCCGGAATCTCTGTGTGAAAGGGGCTTTAGTTTTTTAAGAGATTTAAAGCATCGTTTAAAAAAAAAAAAAAGTGTGCGCATGTGTGAACGTGCTCTAGTGCGTAAGAACGAGTGTATGATTGAATCTGGAAATAAAGCAAAATAACTGAGAAAAACATGAGATGGTCCTCAGATGCCATGTCTGTAATTTATATCAAAACATCGAACATTAATTCGATCTCACACAGATTCATTAAAAGTAGTTATTACTCCATCTCCTGCGTGACATCATTAACCAACGCTGTTGAAACAGTCGTGACTAGCTAGTTGATTTCTTCAACGATGCATCGCACTGTGATAGTGAAGCAGCGAGTTACGGCGTTGTACGGGAAACACACTCCTGATTGGTTACAAGGTCGTTTGTGACGTCAGAAACACCAGCGATTTCAAACCGTGTTTTTGAGACTGTCTTTGGTTCACTGCAGTTTTAAGCAGAAAATACTCAGCAATGCTGTCGACTTATGAACTTACACATGGTGTGTCTTAAAGCATATTAAAAACACCACATACACATATAAACAACATTAAAAACTGGATTTTCACCACAGGGGGACTTTATAAAAACAGCAAAGTTATCACAAATCTGGGTTTTAGCTGTCACTTGTTACGAGGGATGAACTCGAGATTAATTTAAAACATTTAAGTGTAAGGTTGCAGCATAGCAAAATGTAAGAAATTAAAATAAAAAGCTCTGAATACTTTCTAAATGCACTGCAAATATCCTTTCCCCCCTTCAAGCAACAACATTTAAACTCCACATCAGTATAGAATTTAATAAAATTCATAAGCTAGTTCATGCACAGCTTTTCTTATCGTCTCACGGACAGATGAAAACAGAGAATTACAACATGGCATTATTTACAACACCTAAAAACCAGTCACTGATGGTTGAAATCAAAAACTTTCGGCATCTTAACATACATACAAAGTTTTGTTTAAAACAATTGTCTGCCAGTGCTAAAAGCATATAAAAAACGGGTCATGCTTTTCAAACAATAAATATTTTTTACTTTTGGATATAATCAATGAGACCAAGTAGCGATGAATTGTAAAACAACGATAAACCCTTATGTGAAACAGAACTGAGCAATTGCTATAAAGATTAATTTTGACATTGCTAATGATTAAAGTTGATGTCAATGTTTGTATGCTCATTTACAAAGTGAATACACTCTCTTTATTATAATTATATACTTGTCAATGGACATCAGAAGGCCAAAGTATACTTCACTTTTTATGCGTACGCGAAGCCACGAATTTCGTCAATAGGGGTTTTATTTATATATGTTATATATATGGATAAGTTGTTATTTATTAAACAAACGTGACGGGAGAATGTGCGTCTGTAAGTAAACTCTGATCATGCGTACGCACATCTGGAGACGGAGACGTTTGGCGACACCGATGGAGATCTGAGGAACTGATGAAGGAAAACATCTGTAATATTCATCATGAGTCCTAATCAGAAATACAGTGCATGTTCACAATAACAGTGTAAATAAATAAAAGAAGGATTTAAACTGTTTTACATCTGATATACATATTCAGATTAAATATCCCAGCCTCTTAATGGAGTTAAGCACTTAAATTACATGATATCATTACCGAGAAGTTAATTATATTCCAATAAATAGAAATATTTGAAGTGGATGCGATGCTTTTGAACACTTTTCCTGTGGCATGCTGTGTTTTAATGTTTGCTCGGCGCATGATAATAGCAGAATATTTACACGCCAATAATGATCAATAATGCACATTAAGGCCTATCTGTTTCTATTAAAAATATAAAGCAGTTAAAAATACTATTTGGCCAGTGGAAAAGATATGAATTTAAGAAATATATTTTATACTATTTAATTTATTTATTCGGCTAGGATCGGCTACTAAATGATTTTTAGCAATGTAATGTAATCTCATATTTTCCTAATGTCTTGTACCGTGAATATGCATATGCAAATGATATGCAGATGAGGATATGCATAGTAAAACAAGGCTAAATAAGCTCCATATATGGTTATTTCGGGGTTAGATACGCATGTGAAAACAATCTTCCTCTGACTGGGATTATAGCGGGAATTTTGCACAGGTTCTGGTGTACGCACGGTTTTATAAATCTGAATATTTTTTGCCGTACGCCATTATTTGGCTTTCTGGCGCACGTACACTTTTAGTAAGGATCCTTCGCACAGTTTTATAAACGAGAGCACAGAAAAGTATGCGCGTAACATATGCCCTGTCCCAAATGGAACCCTAAGCACTCGCGGTCTTCCTCTGAGTCCGCACTTTCGCGACGTAACGCCGCTTTGAATGTCGGGAAGAAGTCTGCTGTGGAGTCCGCATCAGCGCGGGCTCGGCAAAAGTGCGCATCAAGGGCGCAAATCGACCGCAGAGGGGGCGCTCGCGAGCACCCTTCTGAGATCTAAAAATGACAAATGGGACACACTACGGTCTCACGGACTTAACGGACACGCGCACGCGGCAGCCATTGTAAGTCCACAAGACCGAAAGTGCACATGAAGTGTGCCATTTGGGACAGGGCCGAAGTGTGCCATTTGGGACAGGGCCTTAAACACGTAATTTTAACTTTTTGTAGTTTATCCACAAGGTGGCAACCGTGCCCTGAGGTCGTCGATTCACAAGGTAATCAGAGAAAAACTGAACAGATAAATAATAATAATAAACAGAACAGACCAGAACGCATGCGAGTTACAGCGACAATAGAGGTCTACATACATAGACGAGAGATTGTGCGAAGAGGTTAAAACTTTAGTACCTTATATGTACATGAAACAACACAAAGATATTTACATGGAGATTGCGTACGCGTAAAAAAACGAAGTATACTTTCTGCTTTATTCAACAGCAATCACTTTATAGTAATGTTTTTTTTTTTTTTACTTGATTCACAAGAAATGTATTTAGACTCAAACATGTTCAGAGTTCAGGCCAAAATGGTCTTGCTCCATAAGCAAAGCATGCCGATGCAAAACCACCAGTTTAGTAAGTAAGTCTGTAGGGTTTCAAATACACAAAGCACATTTTGGGCAGATTTCACCTCATATGGCGTTAATGGTTAAATATACACTGACCTGACATGCTTTACCATGTCACAGTGGGAGTGTGTGGTTTATCATAAAAAACAAATGTGGCTAACCAATATTGAGTCAGGCTAACATAGTCTGGAAGTTCAAGTATGTACTTTTTCTTTTTAAGCTACTGATTTTAAACCCAAATGAATATAGCCTAGGTGAATATAGTTCTGTTTCAGAAAAATCCTGTTAAATAAGTGCATTTTAATCGCTATAAACCAGGACAAAATGTGAAAGATCTGCAAATGAAAGCATGTTAGTAATCTAATTGCATTAAACCATCATAGTTGTGCATATATTACATCTGACAGGAGAAACGACACCGTTTGTACATGGCAGCAGCGGTCGAATGCTATAAAGATACAGATCAAATATGCCATTTAATAACACAGATGATTTCTGAAATCATCTACATTTGCATGGACTTTAGAGTTGGACTCGGTGAAATAATAAATAAAGGATATTGAGGAGAGGCTGATTGTCAGAAGTGACGGTACAGAGCAATAATGAGCTGTGGGAAACACAATATTCCCATTCATATCAATAACTGCATTATGATGGAGAAATATTAAACCAGATCTGAACTGTAAAATGTGACCTAGATTCAGGGATCCAGAGAAATGTCTTGATATCAGCGGTTACATTCAATCGAGGATCGCGTCTTCCATGGGAAAGGATCGTTCAACAGTCCATTGCTGTAGATATTGTTTTCATAAGTCATAAAAAAAAAAAAATGGATTGCATCCATTGGAATCATCATGAAGTGCTCAACTGTTTTTAAATTATGTTTTAAAAAAAGAAAGGCATTTGTTTAATTTTTGAGGCAAATGTCCCGTCTTTGGAACTCAAAGTCCCATAATGCACCTTTCTGTAAACTACAACACAATATTTCTAGGGTCACACACTGAAAGGCTTTCACTGTTGCAGCTCCTCTTGAGGTAGAGCTTGTTGGTTGGTTCAGTATAATGTGATATATGCGAGGGATGATGGGAGTTGTGTGTGATCACACAGCGAGGCCTGTCGTTTGGCTGTTGTAGTCCGCAGTCTCCATTTTAAGGATATATGGAATGATACTGTCGATCGGTACGTTGCCAATGAGGCCTGTAAAAAACAGCTCCTCGGTTATATTGGAACTCATCGACCGCAACGCTGGCAAACGCAACAGGATTCGGGCCAACCTGCCACATCAATCAGCAGTTAATGAGAGCACATCAGACAATTAACAAACACCTCAGGCTAAAAAACGTAGATTAAACCACCTATATTAATCCGGATATATCTGAAAATGACGTTTTTGTTTCAAAACACTCTCTTTTTGCCAAAAGATTGTTGTCCACTGCAGAAAATATAAGTAAAAATTTTTAAGATAAGTAAAATGACATAAGAAATGATATCTTGTTTCCTAAAAAATAAAAATATCTAAACTCTGGGGTTCTTCATTTTAGACTCACACTTCGAAAATGACCCGGAGGGCGGCATTAAGATACATTTTATTTGAGTAAAATCAATGAAATATATTTTTGTTCAATAATATTTTTTCTTTTCTTTTTTGGTGTTTTGAGATAATTTTATGATTTATAATTAATATTTATGCAATAATTAAGACCCATTTTTTCCCATTGAATATAATAGAAAATGTATATATATATATATAATTAAAAAAATTTTTTTATTAAAGCTGTATTTCATTTTAGAGTCAAGTCTAGACCTCATGAAAGCAATTTTTGAAATGAGATCGGAGCCATCTGGTGGACACACTGAGCATTTTTATCACGCAATAGCACATTTTTACCACTAGTGGATTTACAGCTCTCTGTAGAAACCTATGGTAGAAACACTCTAGTGATTTTTTCACATATTGTTTAATTTTTTTTAGGTTGTTGATTTGAATATATAATAACAGAGTCTCAAAGACTATTTTTGTCATTTTGTTAAATGTAAAAAATTTTTTTTTTTTTTTTGGTTGGTTGGTTTAAATGGTAATTTGAAGTGGCAGTTTTACTTTATAATACAGTCAAACCTGAACACTGCATTATAAAGAGAACAAATGGAAAGCATTTTGTCACCCATTGTTTTAAGAGATTCACCCCTTCAATGTTGTGTGCTTTTTTTCTGCATCCTGGCTGTTTTGTAGATTGTATGCACAAAAAAAACTCTGTATTTTCAAATTTTTGCCAATTTCCCATTCATTTCCTATGCGGGTCATTTTTGACCCGAAGGTCCTGAGTGTGACTATTTTGTTTTAAGACCACTTAGACTTTTCAAATCCTTTCCCCAATTTTTTTGGGTGTTCATATACCAAGTACCAAAAAAGTCACCAAGTTTTGGACCATTCCGATGAAGCTACGATTTTTAATTTTGTTTTATTTAAACGCTTCGGGACATTTTTGACCCGAAGAACCCCAGAGGGTTAAGTGAGTTTTTGCTTAAAACAAGCAAAATTATCTGCCAATGTGGTAAGAAAAATAATCTTAATTCAAATGGAAAATGATTTATTTGTTTTAAGCAAAAAATCACTTCATTTAGATTTTTTTTAGTAAACAAGATATAATTTCTTATGTCATTTTACTTATCTTAAAAATGTTTACTTATATTTTCTGCAGTGGACAATAATCTTTTGGCAAAATTCACTTAATTTAGATTTTTTTTAATCGGAAAACAAGATATATGTATTATATATGTCATGATTTTACTTATCTAGTAAATGCTTCTTGATTTAAGAATTTTTACATATTTGGACTGAAAACAAGACAAAAATACTAAGTAAGAAACACAGCACTGTCATTTCACAAATCATCTTACTGCGCATGTGTGAAACATAATAAAAGCTCACTGAGATGATATGAGAGCCTAGAGACATAATAAAGTTCAATAAAGCCACGATCATATTATCAGCAAAGGTGCGTTCAGGTCGCACTCAATCGCCGCTCCGTGTCTGATCTAAAACCTTTTTTGACGCAGGACAGCAATTGCGATTAAATTTCTGTCATCTCTGTAGGAATGTAATAAGATGATTGTCTAAAGTAGCATTTATCTTTAGTAACACTGTGAAAGTGAACAGCACATGAAACGCATATCTATGGGTATAATATGCGTCACATGACTAAACATGTGACTTTGTTTTTACAGTCCAAACTACAAACTGATTTTTTCCCCACATTTTTTACCACTTTGATCCGAAAAGCTCAGTTTTTACAGGTTAAAAATGCTGTCCTGGTGTGGACGAAAGGCCGAAACATAGAAGAAAAGATGCGTTTCAAATGTGTCCGGATAAATGTAGACGCAGCCTAAATGAAACACAACCTCAGCTCTGTGAACAGCAAATGAAGCATGTTGTCAGTAACCACATTAAAAAATTATACTTCCAAAAAGCGAAGAAAAAAACGTGATTAGATGAATATACTTACAAAGTAATTCGATGCAAGTCGATTCTAAATTCCCACTTTAAGGGCATTGCAAACATGTTTTTCCTTAAAACTGTTAAAGTGCCTCTACTATGCATTTTCAGATATTATTTTTCATGTAGTGTGTAATAGAGCGTTACAAGTTTCACAGATAAAAGAAGTTATTTTCTCCTAAAAGAAGGAAGTGATTCTGAACTGCCTGAAACGAGTCGTCAGCAACACCAGTCTCAGTTCCTGCTGAACCTGTGTAGGTTTGAAACTAATTTGCATAATGCCCGCCTATGGTCTTGATTGGCTGATCAGCGTCTCTTAGCTCCGCCCTCAAACACTAGTGTATCTGAGACTGGGAGAGTTTGGTTCGTGTTGTTCGTGTCGAGAAGACGCTGTTTTCTGCTGACAAAGCAAATCCACTTTGATGAGATTGATACGGTGAAACCCACGCCATCGTTACTGTTCGTATCAATGTGATCAAGAGCTGAGATTCAGATATGATAATGAGCGTTTGCTTTCTGGCCAATCAGAGCAGAGCAGCTCTCAGAGAGGCGGGGCTTAGAGAGACTGAATCCTTGATTGAAGCGTTTCGGACACTGAGAGGAAAGAGCTGATGCTGCAGTGGAGATTATGAGAAACTAAGGCCTGTCCACACGCAGACGCGTTTAACTGTAAACGTACATATTTTGTATCGTATTGGCGTTTCGTCCAGACGGATCCGGCGTTTCGGGATACTGAAACCGCTATTTTTTTAAACCGGGTCCCAGAGTGGATAAATCTGAAACCGACACCCTTGCGTTCTCGTGTGTACGGCCAATCCGTACATTTTGTGACACGATGATGTCATCACACCACGTGTCAGCATTAGTCACACACACCGCTACGTCACACGTAGCAGCAACAACAATGGCGGACTATATGCTTGTGTTCGCGCTGCAGAAGATCCTGAGCCTATTCGCTTTACTAAAGCACACTCTTCTGCTCCTGCGGGGAGCAATCTTCATCTTCGCCTTGCTGTCGTGTGGGGTTCGTATAGAGCGCACGGTTATCGCATGCTCAAGTCCTCTTCTCCTTGTTTAGTGTATCTCTGTGGCAGAACTACAGCGCCACATACTGGTCTGGCATGTATACCACATCGGTTTCAGTCGGTTTCGTGTGTACGCATATATTTCTTGAGACGACGCCGTGTTTACGAAAAAAATTTAGAACGAGGAAAGAAAAAAAAAGATCGGATAGGGAAAGCTCTGGCTTCGTGTGGATGTGGCCTGAAAGTGTTTTTGACCTAGGATGAATCTAAAGCTATTTTAGGAGATTTCGAAACAACATAAGGAGCCTTTAAAACAGCATAACTGAGGCACTTTAAAATCCTTGTGGTGACTGACAGCATCTCTCAAACGCTGTTGATAGAGATAAGACGCATTTCACCCAGAATATCACTCTACTATGGAGCAGACCTGTAGGTATCATCAGGATAGGTCTTTTGCACATAATCCTGGAGCTCCATCTGCGCTTTTTCCTGGAACTTTTCAATCTGGCCACAGCTACTCAAACCTGGATGATCTTGTGAAGAACAGAGTTTATAAGCGTCTTACAACTGCTTCAAATGCTCAAGGGTTGAGTAAAGCTGTGAGCACACGTACCTGGACTGAAGAGGACGATGGCTTTTAAATAGGCGTATTCGTATCCGTCCGTCTGTAGCTTCGCCATGCTGTTGCAGAACTCCTGCAGCTTCCATATGTGCTCCATCACTAGCTTGATGCGTTCACTCGATAGCTTGTCTACTGAGAGGAGATCCGTTGTTAGTTCAGTTTAGTTTCATCAACGTGTAAACAAGAGGCAACATATTCCTGCAATGCTCCTGACATCAGCCAGTTTAGATACGGGAGATATGTTCATTATAGACGTTTCTTAAGAACACACTAACCATTTTAACCCATTATACACATATATTATGACGGCACTGAATGCCATATTTTTATCTTTTTTTGAAAAAAGTGTTAAGAAACAGGAAATAGAAATTCCTTGAAAACTTTTCAGTGTAAATGTTTGAACTGTGTGGCAAAATTTACCATTGCAACTGCAGTAGGTGCTCTAATTTCTGAATTTATTCTATCTATCTATCTATCTATCTATCTATCTATCTATCTATCTATCTATCTATCTATCTATCTATCTATCTATCTGTCTATCTATCTGTCTATCTATCTGTCTATCTGTCTATCTATCTATCTATCTATCTATCTATCTATCTATCTATCTATCTATCTATCTATCTATCTATCTATCTATCTATCTGTTTATCTGTCTATCTATCTGTCTGTCTGTTTATCTATCTATCTGTTTATCTATCTATCTGTTTATCTATCTATCTATCTATCTATCTATCTATCTATCTATCTATCTATCTGTCTGTCTGTCTGTCTATCTATCTATCTATCTATCTATCTATCTATCTATCTATCTATCTATCTATCTATCTTATCTATCTATCTATCTATCTATCTATCTATCTATCTATCTATCTATCTATCTATCTATCTATCTATCTATCTATCTATCTATCTATCTACACTCACCGGCCACTTTATTAGGTACACCTGTCCAACTGCTCGTTAACACTTAATTTCTAAGCAGCCAATCACATGGCGGCAACTCAGTGCATTTAGGCATGTAGACATGGTCAAGACAATCTCCTGCAGTTCAAACCGAGCATCAGTATGGGGAAGAAAGGTGATTTGAGTGACTTTGAACGTGGCATGATTGTTGGTGCCAGAAGGGCTGGTCTGAGTATTTCAGAAACTGCTAATCTACTGGGATTTTCACGCACAACCATCTCTAGGGTTTACAGAGAATGGTCCGAAAAAGAAAAAACATCCAGTGAGCGGCAGGTCTGTGGGCGGAAATGCCTTGTTGATGCCAGAGGTCATAGGAGAATGGCCAGACTGGTTCGAGCTGATAGAAGGGCAACAGTGACTGAAATAACCACTCGTTACAACCGAGGTATGCAGCAAAGCATTTGTGAAGCCACAACACGCACAACCTTGAGGCGGATGGGCTACAACAGCAGAAGACTCCACCGGGTACCACTCATCTCCACTACAAATAGGAAAAAGAGGCTACAATTTGCAAGAGCTCACCAAAATTGAACAGTTGAAGACTGGAAAAATGTTGCCTGGTCTGATGAGTCTCGATTTCTGTTGAGACATTCAGATGTTAGAGTCAGAATTTGGCGTAAACAGAATGAGAACATGGAACCATCATGCCTTGTTACCACTGTGCAGGCTGGTGGTGGTGGTGTAATGGTGTGGGGGATGTTTTCCTGGCACACTTTAGGCCCCTTAGTGCCAATTGGGCATCGTTTAAATGCCACGGCCTACCTGAGCATTGTTTCTGACCATGTCCATCCCTTTATGGCCACCATGTACCCATCCTCTGATGGCTACTTCCACCATGTCACAAAGCTCTAATCATTTCAAATTGGTTTCTTGAACATGACAATGAGTTCACTGTACTAAAATGGCCTCCACAGTCACCAGATCTCAACCCAATAGAGCATCTTTGGGATGTGGTGGAACGGGAGATTCGCATCATGGATGTGCAGCCGACAAATCTGCGGCAACTGTGTGATGCCATCATGTCAATATGGACCAAACTCCCTGAGGAATGCTTCCAGCACCTTGTTGAATCTATGCCACGAAGAATTGAGGCAGTTCTGAAGGCAAAAGGGGGTCCAACCCGTTACTAGCATGGGGGACCTAATAAAGTGGCCGGTGAGTGTATCTATCTATCTATCTATCTATCTATCTATCTATCTATCTATCTA